TACTACTTTTTCTTTTGAGTTGCATCATTTTATGTTATGAAAATAGTATTTTCTCTCTCATTAGTCTTTTACGAGCGATCATGCATGATATCTATTTGTTTCTCTGCAGGGATTTAGAAAGATAGTAGCAGATAGATGGGAGTTTGCCAATGACTTCTTTAGAAAAGGAGAGAAGCACTTGCTCTCAGAGATCCATAGAAGAAAAACCTCTCAAATCCCTCAACAATATTTCTACCAACAACAACCACCAACTTTATACAATGCTCATCAAGATGAAATATCAACTAACTGGATTGATTCTCCTTTGCCTTCACCAAACAGTACTGATAGTACTTCTGAATTCATCTCAGCACTTTCAGAGGACAACCAAAGGCTAAGGAGGAGGAACTCTTTGCTTCTGTCAGAGCTCACTCATATGAAGAAGCTGTATAATGATATTATTTACTTCTTACAAAATCATGTGAGCCCAGTGCAATTAGATAACCAACGGGTTGCTAATTTTAGCAATGGTACGTCATTGAAGCTAATGGAGGAGTCTCATGATCAGAATGCAGTGAAGCTCTTTGGTGTGCCTCTTCATGGCAAGAAGAGATTGCACCATGAATGTGAGTCTTTAGAATAGTAGCTATGGAGTGCTAGTGCTAGTTAGAATAAGATTTTGTATACTAGTGTTTTTTATTTTTTTTCTATGTAGTAGGAAACTTATATCAAGATCTTTAGTTGAGAATTTCTCCATGTTCTTCTACAAGGCTGGAATATTGTTCTTTGTTGTTTTCAGTTTTGATGATGTATGAATCAGTAGCTCCCTCCGCATACAATAAAGGTTAAAATGTTAGAAATTGCTCATTTCATTCATACATACCTTGCTTTAAAAAAAAACCTCATCGAAAAAGCTTAACAAAAATATCCTTCATTTATTACCGTTATTAAAATTGCAAATTTTGTAACGGAGTTTTGTTCTTCGAACTTCTGAACAAATGTTCGTACTTAGTAGCTGTCTGGCAGACAATTACACTTTAAAAAGAACAAATTTTTAGAGTTGAAAGCAATAAATAGAAAAACTTTCTTAGATAAATCATTTTATTATCAATCCAAATTTTTTTTAGATAAATCAATCAAGAATTTTGCATGCAGACGTCTGGCAAGAAGTTTGAAGATCCGAACGCTTTTTACCATAGGTGAGAAAGTTTTTGGCTGAACTTCCTAGGCGAGTTTTTATGTTCTTAAAAAAATAAAGGGAAAAATGCTTCCAGCCCCCAAAACGAAAGAAAACGTGCCTCCCACCCTTAAGATTTTTTCAACGGGTGTGCTTTACCCCCTAAAGTAAATTTTTTGTTCTCTGAGCCCAAAAACACAAAGCCCAATAATTTTACACAGGTAAAGACTATAATACTTATTCTTTCTCTCTCTCTCTAACCCTACAATCCCTTTGCTCTCCCTCCTCCCTCCGTCACCTCTCACCCGCCGCCGCCGCCGCCATCCTCGTACCATCCTCGCCTTCTCCACTACCGTCGCCTCGGCCTCCACAACATCCTCAAGATCCACAACAGGAAAAAGACCCTGCGCACGGGTTTCGAGGAGTACAGAGAGATCGTCCATCTCGAAGATCGAGCGAAACTTCGGCGACGAGCACTGCATCGTCGACGGAACGAGCGCTGAGTTTTACTGCTCCATGATTCTCTGCACGCTGGGACCGCGTGTGGAGCGTGCGGCGAGCCCCTACTGCAGCACGTGCGCCATCGTGAGGCACGGGTTTGGGCGGAAGCAGGCGGACTTGGACGGCATCGCTACGCACGCGCCTGGGTGCGGGGGCGCACGTGCCTCTGCCGGAGGAGCTGGAGACGGAGTTTGCTTTCCTACACGTGTTGAGTGACTTCTCGTGTGCTTGTGTGCCAGCCGGTGCTCGTGTGCTCGTGTGCCAGGTGGTGGCATTGAGCAGAGAGCATGCAAAGTCCTAAAATTTGTATAATACTATATTGTTGCTTCCCTTCTTTTCCTCCCTATCTGTTCCTTATTGTTGTTGCATAATTGGCTTATTGGCTGTTGGTGATGTAATATAGCTAAATTTTGGGCTAATAGGCTTATAATTAGTTGTAGTGATAGAATATCAGTGGGTGGTTCTTGAAACTTCTGTTAGATTTCGTTAATATGAAGGTTACACGTTTGTTGTCAAGGTTACAAGTTGGTTGTTAAAGTTATACGGGTTGGTTGTTAAGGTTATACGAGTTGCTTGTTAATGTTATGCGTTGGTTGTTAAGGTTACGCATTTATTGTTAAGGTTATGGGTTACTTGTTAAGGTTACACATTTGTTATTAAGGTTATGGGTTGCTTGTTAAGGTTACACATTTGTTGTTAATGTTACGGGTTGGTTGTTAAGGTTACGGGTTGGTTGCTAAACAAGCAACCCGTATAATCTTAACAAATAACCCGTAACCTTAATAATCAACGTGTAACCATAACAAGCAACACATAACCTTAACAACAAACGTGTAACCTTAATAACTAACTCGTAACCTTAACAAGCAACATGTATAAGCTTAACAACTAATCTGTAACCTTAACAACAAATGCGTAACCTTAACAAGCAACCCGTATAGCATTAACAACCAACCTGTAACCTTAACAACCAATGTAGGACATTCTAATGAGAGTGATTTTAACAAGCAACCTATATTTTTTTAATTTGGGTTAATTTAAATTTTTTTTGGTGATAATAGTTTTAGCGTTGGTAAGTAACAAAGTGACAAAGTGCACGAAAATGAATAGGCGGAAGGGTTGGAAATCTTAACTCAAACACTTAACAGAACATGAAGTTAGCTAATAAATTCACCCAGATCAGAAACATGTGTATCCATTTACGCCACCTAAACTCATCTAGCTCATATCTTTAACAACATAATTACACCACGTAAACATATGGTCGTTTTTGACAAATTCAACCCACTTAATTTTTTGTCACGCTAGACCCAATTACTCATTTATGTTTCCTTCCATGAAAACCTAATTTAAACCTAGCAGTCACTCAACACGTGCAGGAAAGCGAACTCCGCCTCCAGCTCCTCCGACAGAGACACGTGCGCCCCCACCCGGGTGCGTGTGTAGCGATGCCATCCAAGTCTGCCTGCTTCCCCCCAAACCCGTGCCTCACAATGGCGCACATGCTTTAGTAGGGGCTCCCACACGCTCCCACGCACGGTCCTAGCGTGCAGAGAATCGTGGATCAGTAATCAGCCGTTCGTTCCCGTCGGCGATGCAGGCGCTCGTCGCCGAAAGTATTGCTCGGTCCTTCGGATGACGATCTCTCTGTACTCTTGACCGTACCAGGGTTTTCTCGTGTTGTGCATCTTGAGGATGCTATGGATGGCCGGCAGCGACGTGACGGAGAAGGCGAGGATGGTAGGAGGAGGGCGGCGCGGCTGAGGGTGGAGAGGTGGTGGAGTGAGGAGGAGGGAGAGCAGAGAGATTGTAGGGTTAGAGGAGAGAGAAAGAATGGGTATTATAGTCTTTACCTGTGTAAAATTATTAGGCTTTGTGTTTTAGGGGCTGAGAGAACAAAAAAGTTTACTTTTGGGCGGGTAAAGCACCCGTTGAAAAAGTCTTGGGTGGAGAAAGGCACGTTTTTTCTTTTGTTTTGGGGGGCTAGAAGCATGTCTTCTCTCTCTGCAAGCACAGCCATATAGTTTATACTATTATTACTGTTATATAAACGTAATAATAATACAACTAATCATATACGACTATAAATCGTTATCCTCTGAAGTAGGTTTATTTGTAACTTATCCTAAAATAAAAAAATAATTACTTTAAGGTTAGATTCTTTCTTTTTCCTATTGGATATATCTAAAAGACAAAATGAAGTATTCAATAAACTTATGCTGCAGTTCAGTTCATTGGATTCTTCTTGTCTTCAATCAGTGATTTGAAGATTTCTACAGATCATATATACTCTGCATAGAGCCCATCATATATAATTGTGAGAGGGGGTCATGATAGTAATCATTTCTCACAATGACTTTTCGAGAGAATAGTAAATAATCAAAGATTATAAGCTTTTATTCTTCTTTTGGAAAAACGTAAGCACTACACAGTTTAGCAATCCAAATTACCAGTTAAATTATAGATACTAATGAGTGATAAAATCGAAGACCGATACTTAGCTCGTAGTTAGAGGAATAAGTAGGTGACAAACTCAAAATATAATCCAATTTTATTGCATTGTTTCGAGGAATAATGTTAAAGAAACCATGCTAACAACAAACATCTCCCTAGGTTACATCAAATATCGTAAAAAGCAAAATTTGGTAATCGAGAACAAGAACCCTAAACTTTGTCATACGGGCATAGATGATTTGTTTTATTTTAAGAGAAAAGTAGTACAAGATGCCCTACACTGCTACACATTATATTAAAACGAAAAGGTGAATAATAGTTTTATGATAGAAAGAAGTTCCTGTTTTAGAAGGCAGATCCTGTCCGGACTCTTTGGTTGGCACGGAAAAAAAAAAGTAGTGGAACGAGATTTGTATTTCCTATGTTTGATTTGTTAAATTACAATTAGGAAAGATAGATATATTTACAATTTAGAAAAAAAGCAGCAGCAAATAATGCAACCAATTTGAAAAGACCAAAAGCCACAACTTCTCAAAAGAAAAATTAAAATTAAGAAAAAAATGTCTCCTCACCAAGTAACAATTTTCTAATTAAAATCTAGACAAGAGTTTTTTGCAATATTATTTTTTCAACGAAACCCTATATTTGCACTAGAAATTCATTTTCCACAACAAAATTGCAAATGATCTAGATATGAAATGTTTTTCCTTCCAATATTTACCACAAGAACATTCGTTGCAATTCTCCTTTTCTGGAAACCAAATAGAAAGTGCATAGAAAAATCAGATTTAACCATACAAAATGAGCAAAATTTTTAATGGGTTGGTGGGGTGGGGGGGGGGGCTGCTCTGTCCACATAACCTCTAAATTTATTTACTCCTACACATTATCCATCTAAACTTTTTTGTTATTTCACTCAGTCTCTTACAATCCCCAACTAATTGAGGATTTTATTTTCTCATAGTAATTTTAGTTATCTTAGATTACGTATAACTGGGTCTAGAGAGAAAAGTTTAAAGTTTAAGGGATCCTCATAAGACACCTTATAGTTCAGAGGGATAAAGTACGTAAGATAAAAAAAAAGTGCAAATGAGATTATTTGTTACACCTCCATGCCTTAGGGGATATAATGTAAATCCCCAAAGTTCAGGGGGTATTTGTGAAATTTAGTAACAAGCGAGATGCGGAGAAAAATTATTGATTAGAAAAATAGATATAAAATTTATACTACTTATAAAAGAGGAATGCTATTCCAAAACTTTTGAATACCTTTGTTCTCTCAATTTTGATAATATACAATTATGCCTCTTATATACAATCTATCCTACATTAATTATACATAACATGCTATTATGCCCTCTAAATTAATTCTTTAACAATTAATTGTTACACATTATTATTATTATTTAAATTAATTAAATTCATGTACAATAATTTATTAAAGAATTGTTTTTGTATTATACTATAATTAATAAATAATTATAATAAACTATGAATTGTTCTACAGAAGCTTTTATTATAATAAATTATTATTTATATTTTACTATAAATAATATAATAAAATTTCTTTAATATTACTATTTAAATTAAAAAGCACACTGTTATTCAATATTTATACTATT